GTGTGTGTAGATACAGTTATGTATAAATACAAACATCATTTTGCAAACCATTTGAACCAGTTGCAAACATCAGACCCTTTTATTTCTAAATAAACATGTATTTTCTATGAACAGGACCTTTTATATAACCATAGCATAAAGATCAAAATCAGGAAATGAAACACTGATAAAATACTATTATCTAATCCATAGCCCATATTAAAAACTACTTCAAATGTCCAGTAATACCTTTTATACTATTTTTTCCCCTGTCCGTGATCCAATCCAGGATCATACATTGTGCTTAGTTATTCTCTGGGTATGTTGGTCTCCTTTAATCTGTAACCATTCCTTGGCCTTTCGTGACCTTGTCATTTTTGAAGGGTTCAAGCCATTCATTTTATAGAACATCCCTCATCGTAGGTATGTCTGTTATTTCCTCATGATTATATGCAGATTATGCACTGTTGGCAAAAATCCCACAGAAGAGACAGATTTCTCACTGATGGGAAGGGGGAAGGGAACTACAGTGAATTGTGTGGTGTTGGATGGGAATTAAAGGTCTCAGGATGAACTGGTGAAGATAGATGCAGAAATTACATATCAGAGTGTGTGTGTGTGCACGTGTGTGCAAGTGTAAACCACGCCCTCACTAAGAGGTCCTGGACACAGCAACACCCAACACAGAGACCACACCTTGCTCCCAGGTCTTGGTTCGTGCAGGCCACTTCCCACTGAAAAGAACCGGAAGTGCTTGCAGACGTGGCTGATGCCAGGACCGGGGCAGGGAAGGTAGAAGGTGAGCCTGGAACGTCTGTGCCAGAAAATAAGGAAGTGTTTACAGTTGAAGGGACTCTCGCTGACCAAATCTAGGATAATTTGAGATTTAAAATAAATGATACTAGTAATTACAGCTGTAATCAATAGGATTATAGCCTATTGAATACAATAAGAATCTGATGAGTCCATACTGATATAACAAAATAAATGAATAAGTGGAGGAAAAAGAGAGCTCTTCCTTACAGTAGAATGCCTGCTGCTAGGTAGATCAGGGATGCTGGAGCTAGCAGACGACCCCCAGAGCCGTCAGAGGGATGCTTGGTGCGGGTGTGGAGCGTCCGTGGACGCACAACATGGAGAAACAGTGTGAGGAATAGGATAGCTACATAATTTCAAAGTAGATTCCCACAAATTTCTTGTTCATCATTTAGGGGGAAAAGTAGTTTCCCTGTGGGACAGTGTGGCAGACAGCACCTTAACCAGTGACCAGCATTAATGTCGCCAACATCACGTGCTTTCTGATAGGATGCTTTGAAGAGGACATGGCGTCAGTTCTGGGTTTGGTTTCATTATTTTAACTTGAGGATGTCTTTGGACTAATTTCTAAACCATATTGCTCATTTAGGGGGAAAAGTAGTTTCCCTGTGGGACAATGTGGCAGACAGCACCTTAACCAGTGACCAGCATTAATGTCGCCAACATCACGTGCCTTCTGATAGGATGCTTTGAAGAGGACATGGCGTCAGTTCTGTGTTTGGTTTCATTATTTTAACTTGAGGATGTCTTTGGACTAATTTCTAAACCATATTGCTCAGTAACTCTCAAAAGCATTTGTTTGTTCCTTATTTGCATATGACTGGGATAAAACCCAAGCAAGGAGACAGCTATTCCACCTGGAGCCTCATACCCTGGAGCAGGTTGCTGTTCATCTAAGAACATGTGATGTTGAAGAACACCTCTGAGGAGGCTTTGGAGGTGCACACTTATCGGTTTTGTCATTGCTGAGACTTGCTCTTTTGCTAGAAACTTGGGGTTAACGCAAGCACTATTCTTGTTGTATTGGTGGATGCAGAGAGCGCTACAGTTAGACATAACTGCAGCAAGGAGGCGGACACTGACTAGTAAAGGTTAGGTAATTCATCTTAACGCAACCTCACCTTAACTAATTACACCTGCAAGACCCTGTTTCCAAATAAGTTTACATTCTGAGGTTTTGGGTGGACATGAATTTGGGGGATACTATTCAACCCAGCACAGGATTGTGTGTTAAAAGGATAAAAGGAAACAAATATCATTCAAAACCTGTGCTTCATAAATGATAAAGAACATGATTGTAGAATTACAGAATGGGAAAAGGGCTTCAGGATGTTGTTTGGGACTTCAACCCCATACGCCAGGATACTCCTCAGGAGTAAGATGTCTGTTTGCTGTGGTGGCCAGGACTAAGAGGGCCACCAGCCCAAGTGTGGCTGCTGTGGTTTAACGGTGACTGGTGAGAGCAGCGGCCAGACCGTGCTGAAGGGGAAACCCAACCTCCGGCTACTGGCTCCTTCCTCTACCCAAATTCTGTGTAAAGAAGATGAAGAAAATGAGGGAGAAAGGACAAATTTGGAAACAGAAGAAGTAGAGTTGGCCTGATACCAGCTAAATAAAGGCAGGGTTTCCTCTTCAGTCTCTAGGAAGCTCCAGTCTGCTGTGTAAAGTGGCCCTTCGCCCTGCAGCCAGGCGGCTCAGAGGGCCCAGCTAACCCGCAGGCAGTTGCTCTTCCCAAAGGGGCTGATTCAGCAAAACTGAATTCCATGCCAAACTGAAATGGACATTTTCAGAGGCATGGACTGCTCCCTGTGCGGTCCTCGGTGTTCAGGGGGCATCCCTGGGCAGGGGCTGTCACAGACCACCCGAGCCACTGAGCACCACCTGCAGAACGACTAGGGAGAGGAGGAGCATGGAGCCCAGAGATGGCGGTGGGGCCTGACCCCCAAACAGCCTTGATGTTCCAGGAATGCAGTGCATGTGGGGCCCTCCTCTGCCAACGGGAGAGCGCACAGGAGAGTGCAGACCCAGAGCCCGCTAGAGCAGGGCTCTCTCAAAGTCCCTCTAGCTAGTGATTGTGAATTCACCTTCTCCAGTTGGTGACCCACTGTTACAACTGGTGGTTCCTGCGTAGCATCAGGGCCCACAGGAGAGGCTCGGCTTCTCTGAAACCTGATTTGGGAGGTGCTAGAGGCAACTCAGTCTGAGAACTTTGTTCTTGCTCCTCATGGAGACTGGAAAAGAGAAACCTGCCCCCAAATGGGGCAGACTGGGGCCGTCCATAGTCTACCCTTGCCCTGGTCAGTTACAGCCAGTGGTTATGCATGTGGCCAGTGAATCCAGCCGTGGGCCACAGATCTGGGTACTGAGAGCCGGTGGGGTTGCCAGGGTCTGGAGTCTTCCTCTACTGCAACCTGAGGTACAGGGGAGCAGGGGTGGTATAACCGAGCTTCAGCCAGAGAATCGAGAGACTTTCCTTCCCTGTCCAAAAGAGGGTTTTCAGAAACACAATGACAAATGTCTGAGCTTTTGAGACAAAGCCAGTGTACCTGTGTAGCCTTTGTTCTTTGGGCTGAATTACACACTCATTTTTTAGAATTTCACTTTTTCCTGTCTGGCCATTGGCATGGGCTTGGAGAGAAAGAATCCTAGAAAAACCACCCGTATATATTTCCGTGATGAAGAAGACAGCCTTGGGCATATGTTTTTTTCATCCAGCAAGTATTTATTGAGTACCTGGCAAGCTGGTTTGGTTTTTTCCTTTCTCCAAGGCACAGCTCTTCCAGAGGTTGTAGGTTTGAGTTCCATAGTGCTACCACCGTTTTTTCCCACCTGAAATATGGTCTGTATTTCTTTAATCTGGAAATGTTTATTTGACCCCTGCTTTTGCTGGCAGCCAGAGAGACAGGCACCCCTAGGGCTCTGTGTGTTATTCCTACAAGAATGTAGATGAGCAACCAGAGAGGGTGACCTCAGTGTCCCCCGTGGGTCTCCCCAGGGAAGCGGGCCCCCAGTAGAGGTGGAGCTGCCACCCTGCTTTCCATTGTTCTGTCCAGGATGACTCTGCCTTAGGCAACTATTGATTCAGGCAGCTGGTCACACAATTGGAAGTCACAGGCCTCTCCAGGCCACAAACATCATGGGCTCTTCAGGGTTGTGGTCTGGGCCTCAGTTCACAGAAGAGCTGCCCTCCTGGTTGGGGTCCCTCTGCTTCATCTCTTATCCAATACTTTTTCCTCCCAACTTTTTCGTTGACCTAGGAAATATTTTTCTATAGAGTGTTTTAGACTTTCAGACTGGAGTGAACTTTTTATCTTCTTGCTAAAGTATCTCCTGTTTTCAGTCTCCCACACATTTCATACTTAACTTTTGAGCTGCTTTTCTCGTCACCAGACAGAAGCAGGGCTTTGCGCCAGTGTTTTTATGTCATTGACCTCACTCAGAGCTCACCAGTGTCACTGCCTTCTTCCCACTGAGGTCAGTGCAATATTTATAGGTCTGCCTTGCTTGTGAGCTTCTGAAAAGTTGCATAGAAACTAAAACGCCAAAAATAAATATGATCTTAAATGCCCAAGATAGCAGCTTGCACAAGAAAAGTGCAGTTAATTTTGCTGTAAACTAAGTAATCATTCTTTCTTGTCTGTTTTGTAATCACATGTAAACATCTTCTGAGACCTAAACTTCTCATTGATTAGTTTTTTGATGAATGTTTGTGATACAATATCTGGTCTCTGGTGTTGGCTCACAGCTCCTAAAACCCTTGGAATCTCCTGTGACAAGGGTCTTTTTGTATGCTGATGAGGTGACTGGTGGCTGGGGCTCCTGGATAACCTCAGGTGGGGGCTGGTTGTCAGAGGAATGAACCACTGATTAGAGGTTTAGAGCTTTCAGTCCCATCCCCCAACCTCTGGGAGGGAGAGGGCTGAAGGTGGAGCTGGTCATCGATGGCCAGTGAGTAATCAATTGTGTAGCGAATCCTCCATAAAAACCCAAAAGGTCTGAGTTCGTAGATCTTCCGGGTTGCATGGGGGTGCCTGGAGGGTGATGTGGGTGTAGAAACCTTTTCCCTGTACCTTTCCCTGTATGTCTTCTCCTCCTGGCTGTTCATCCTTATCCTTTGTAATGTCCTTTATAATAAACAGGTAAAGATAAGTAAAGTGTTTCCTGAGTTCAGTGAGTGACTCTAGCAAATTAATTGAACCTGAGAATGGGGTCCTGGGAACCTTGATTTAGAGCCAGTTGTTCAGAAGCACAGGTCACAACTGGGACATGCGATTGTCATCTGAAGTGGGGCGGTCTTGTGGGACTGAGCCCTTAACCGGTGGGATCTAACTCTGCCTCCAGGTAGACAGTGTCAGGATTGAACTGAGTTAGAGGACACCAGCTGGTGTCTGCTGAAGAATTGCTTGGTATGTGGGAGGAGAAAACCCTATACATATGTTGTCAGAGTGTTTTGTGTTGTGTGTGAGGTAGGAAAAATAGTTTGGTTTTTCCTGTCTCTTACAATGTTTAAGTAATGTCAATTTGGACAAAGCAAAAGTGGCAAAGTTTTCAATGTTCTAATATTGTATTGATATTATAAGTAGTACTGATAATTGCTTTAGGGCTGAATGAATAATATACAGCATAAGAAAATTGAAAAAGTCAGTGATGACAGATTCTTGACATACTTTCTATGGCGTGATGTCACTCCCTGTCACTGTCCTGTGTTCCAGGTACAGAGCCTTCACTTTCTCTCTGACGTTTTTGCTGTATGCCAGCTTTCACTTATCTCGGAAGCCTATCAGCATAGTGAAGGTAAGAAATCATAAAAAGCACTCCATTTTATGTCCTGTCTGTAATCTCTGTAAAAGAACTTGTTACTTTTAATAACTTTCAGGGTGGGGATGGGAAGGTGGTAAGATAAATGGAGAAAACAGGTGTTTAGAAACAAGTCGTTTTGCACCTTTGGTTTTTCAGTTTCTCTTTTCTGAAATTAAAATGTTTAAAATGTTTTTAGGATTTATGGTTTCAGAAGTAGTATACTTTCAGTTATACTTGTTGACAGTTCTAGAATTCTAAAGCTTAATTAAATATTTATTTTATCTTTTGTGAATTTTCCTTCCAAATATATCCAATCTTAAATCATTCCCCAAATTACTTCATCTCTTCTTACATTTTGACCCTAAGTCTGGCTGTGGAGGTGGTTCTCCATTATTCTTAGAACACTGAGTTTCTGTTTGAGTTGTGGGTGGGCAGGAAGTTGTTAAGCAGGTGTTCAACTAGACTTCAAGAAAAGATTAAAGTAGACAATTCCACATAATAACCATTTATAACTTGGAAAAAAGCAGAATAAGTTTCCTACTCTCATCGGAGTTACACCATTTGTCTGTAGGCCTGCATGGCTTTTGACACCTGATCGTAGAGGGAACAAGGAAATAGTGCGGTGCCGAAGACCGCTCATTTACGGCCCGAGGGCCCCTCACTTACTCTGCAGTCGTTGACAGGGACACAGATCCAGACCTGCAGTTCTGTGACCCTGTAGCAGTGCTTGCTGCACTCCCGCCGGTGGCTGAGCACTGGACGCTGTCCCCTCCCTGAGTCCTCCCAGTGGAGTGGGGAAAGCTGTTGGTTTTGTGGACAGTTCTAGGTTCCTCATTCTCCAGTAACTTCCAGTGGATGTTAACACTCATTTACTCAAAGGATTCTAAAATTCCTCCTTGATTCCTGGTAAGCAGGAAAGTTCTATGCCCTTCAAGTTGCTGACTATGGAAATGTTTGCAGGCTTTTAAAAATGTGGTTTTCAAAAGAGAAATAAGGCTAGGAAAAAAGGTGATAGGCCTTAATAAACACATATCACCTTGACAAGGGGCTCTAAACCCCTTGTACCAGTACCCAGCCACTGTAAATGTGCACAGTGCTACTTTTTGTCTTCCTGGCTGGAGAAATACACAAATGGCTCAAGAGAAAGGCCAATCAATTATAGAAATGGAGGAGACATTTGAGGAGGCCTTAGTGAGGGCCATGGAACTGCAGGAACAAGTGTGCGCAGGGGAGCAGGGGAGCCTCTGTGGGGTTTCAAGAGTAACCTGGAAAGGTTGGGTTTGGATTGTGGGGGAGAAAAAATGGCTCTCAAGGTGGGGACACACCTCAAGTACTAGACAGAGGGATGGGGCATCCCCATGAAGCCACCACCTGATGGGCTAAGGATCTGCTGGGACATATCTGGTATGTGGGGTGGGACTGGCCACGGGAGGATCTCTGTGGCAAGACGTGACTCTTGGGGCCCAGTTGACGACCACAGGGTCTCCACTTAGTAAGAGATATTAGCAGTGTTCGAGGTCACTCTCCTAGCTTCCCAGGTGGCTCCTCTCAAGCTCCCCCCTCCCCCGCACCCCT